CTATTTATATGTTCATTGTATAATGGCAAGTTCGTAAATGAATAAATAAACAATTTTATTATTGAAAAAAATTTGATTGAATTCTGGACTCTACTCCAGTGGTGTGGTTGAATAGAAAAAAATAAGAGTTTTTTTTCGTTTTTTGACATTGAAAAATAATATATGCTGACCCTGAAATCAAAGACAAGTTCATGAAATTTGTTTTTTTTTTGGTAGAATTCCCGAATGTCTACATAATGATAAAGAAAATAATTCCTATCAGTTCAAAAAGTTCAAAAGTTTCATAAGAATGCTTCCATTTTGAATTAATCACCCTGTATGTAGTACATACTGTTAATAGTACATACCTGGCAATGATGCAGACATACTGCTATATAGACCGCTGCTCATATCGTGGGGTATAGTAGGCGACACAGCAGCATTTGGTGCCAAAAAGTTAGCAGCGGAATGCAAATACAACGTTATGGTGACTGAATGCTGGGGTTCAATAGGTAGCAGTCGCTTCACCTCCTCTTTGTCCCAATTGAATATCTGATCTTGGAGTGATGGTTCCAGGATACTATTGACTTCAACTTCGAGCATTTCGATAGCGACTTGGCCAACATTTTTCAGAGTTACTATACATTCCGTGCTCTCACCATGGTATAAACTAACACTAGCTGATGTTACTATGTTATCATCATGGAAGTTGGAGAATGATGCACTTTGAGGAAATGACGTAGATACCTAACAATGAGAAAATATATTACATGATTCTCACTAACAAATCCCCGTTTTTTTCTACAGAAAACGAATCAAATATAAACACAATATTCACCTCTAATAATGGCAAGCATGGGACCACCTCCACTTTATAGTACGGTGGGAAATTCAGAGATGGCAGCATATGGCGCAACCTACAGTTGGACTTCACACCCAAAGCATGGGTGCTATAGCCAGAAAGTTCGAGTTCGCCACTTTCTCTAGCCCAACCGCTCAATGTTACAGATGTTGGAATATCCGGAGGTAAAACAATAGTTTCCGGCACCGATTCAAAAACCACTCCGGCAGTCAGCAGTCTCATGTTGGACACTTTTTGTTCGAAGGGTAGAGGGTTGACTAGTTTAAGGTTTACTTCGCAGACTTCATTTTTCACCCAGAGAAAGTCTATAAAAAGTTCAAAATAGTAGATTGAAAGGATCCTTATAATATTTCTTACCCATTTTTGAAATAGCTTTTCTCGTCTTCCTCTCCAGACTTCCACCACCGAAATGAATATTTTTTCTACTGCAAATAATATTCACTTTTTGAGGGCAGAATTCAACTTTAAAATAGCAGGTTTTAAATCATCGTTATAACACGCATTCAAAGTGTCATCTGCAAGAGGTTTATAAAAACAGTCAATAAAAAGACCTAGATTACTTAAATAGAAATTTAGAAAAGTGTTCAAGGAACATCACCTTGTTTCCCATTGTATGAATAGTAAACCAATTTAGAACACTGCCACAATGACACTAGTAGCATTTACCAAGAGGATCAAGCTTGAGGACTAGACATTTGGAACTTCGAGGTGAAGAGATATAATTGTTGGGGGTTGGTTCAATATTTAGAAGTGATACTGGGTCCCAAACATTATTAAAAAAGGCGATGAAAGCACTGATGGCCAGACACACCTAGGAAAAGGCAAGGGAGCCGACTGAAATGAAAGAGGCGATAAGGGTATTGCAGCATTTCTCCGAGAATTCATGAGATACCAAAACTGAAAGGCAATCAAACTATACTACAGCATGTTTTTTTTGTTGACTACACAATATATAATATGCTTCATTATTGCTTTAAATACAAACAAATATACGAAATATTAAAGAAATTGAAACTTTTGGGGAAGACTAGCTCCGAGCTATCTTACTTAACTAAGAGGGGGTTCAAAAAATCGAACTGAATAGAAAAAGAGATTTCTAGATAGTGGTATTGAATGAGTTCCTACGATAACATAAATTCATTAGAAAGAAGGCTGTGCATTCGAGTTAAAGATAAAAGATCTCTAAAACATCTTTTTTTGTTGTAGTACGGTCAAGTTTCTGATATTTTTAGAGTGTATTCCAAAGCTGGAGGGTTGTAGTTTTTGAGTAGCTTATGTGCGAATGAACACAAATAGGGCTGCCTTATATTTTCCATCTTCAGCCAGTTCCACTCTTGGAATTTGTAGGAAATTGAATAATATTTTGTATCCCACAAATCAGCCTACAACAACTATTTTGTACTATTTGTATACGATTTTATCATTTACTGAACACAGACCATAAATAAAATTGTAATTATTGAAATGACTGAAAATTAATGACTCACAGAGGTCTTTTGATTTCAAAATTTCAGAATGCCAAGTTTTAGAAATCATTTTGAGAGATGAAAAACCTTCACCAATAACTTTAGTCTTTATTATTACCCATTACAAGCTTGGAAAATAGTGGGACTTTGAATTATAAGGATAATATAGGGCGAGGTCCAACTCGGAAGCAGGAAATGCTATTCTGCTGCTCTTCAACATAGCCCACCCGTGTTACAACACTTTCGATTCGCCATTAGACAGTTTTTTATTTTATTCAGTTTTGTTTACAATACCTTCAGTGAAATCTATATCTTTAGTAAAACTGACATATAGCTGTGTATCATTTGCAAATGCTTGTAGTTCACAATGATCAATATTCTTCAAAATGTCAGATTTGTATACAATGAAAAGCAAGAGACCCAGTATCGATCCTTGAAGGACTCCAGAAAGTATGTCAATAGAGGATGAGTGTGGCCTATTACCTATTATAGAAATAAGCAAGATTCATCAAAACCATAATATCTCAATTCAGCACAAAGCTGCTCATGATTATTGGTTTCAAATGCTTTGGAAAAATCAGCAGCACTGAAACGCTGGATGGCCTTGATCATGAGCAGTTAAATTGTCAATAATTACGATTGCTAGAGAAATTTCAGTATTCTTGCTGGGTATGAAACCACACAGGCAATCATCGAGTAAATTGTTAGATGTGAAATAATAATTTTGAGAATATAAGAAATTCTCATAAATCTTTGATAAAGCTAGAAGCAAACTTATAATTCTCCAATCTGAAAAATCTTTAGATTTGTTTTTTTTCAGGGATTGGTATACCAATAGAGCTTTTCCATAGCAAAGGAAAGTGAGATTTTTCAATACACCAGGCGATATATTGATCAACGGATGGGCTTTTAGCATTTTTACATTTATTCTATTAACCAGAAAGTCATTAGTGCGGATGCTATGTAAAGACTTATTAGCCTCTATGATGGTAATCAAAAAAAGGATCATGAGCTAAGTTGTTACAGAAGTTAAATTTGTCGCCACAAACATTAGAAATGTTCCATACAAAAATAGAAAAATTTGCTTAAAAATCTGTTTAAAATCTGTTTTTCCGTTAACCAGCTGTCGCCTCCATACGAAAGACAACTCTCAGAAGCTGAGAAACTTGTGCAAGCTAAGGACTAACGAGGTCTTATCTTTTAACATGTGATTCCTAACACGGTTGCATAATCATTCCAGCTTCATTCAAAATGAATGCTTAAATAAGCATATACATAAATAAATCTTAAGAAACTAATTTTTTTCGGCCTGGGCAAACATTTATGTTTATCAGGGTCTTTTTAATTTTTAAGGCTGTTTCACTTCTTTATTGAATTTATGCAACGCCTTGTCGCTTTAATTTTTTCAAATTTCAAAGTTTTCTGTTAGCCAAGTTGCAGACGGCTTGATCACTCTTCTCTTAACAATAAGAGCATTTTCATTGAAAGCAGATAAGATAAACCCATTGAAATGTTCAATTTTTTTATAAGAACATCATTTCAATGCAACGCAGTTGGTCTATGGGACTCCTGAGTTTCTTTCTTATTTTTTTCTTTCAACATCAGTGGTGAAGAGGTCTTAAAGTGTTCTTAATTTCAAAATGATACATCAAATAAATACATTTTTAAAGATATACCAACCTCAGATAGTTCCACATGGTTTGTAATAAAAATGTCATATGTCTAGTGGCTAAAGCTGAATTTCCTGTACGTCTTGCAGCAACTACCAACTCCTAAGGAAAATAAATGAACAATCAACATTATCCAGTTTCTGGATATTTTATAAAAAAAAGTATCCACTACGTTCAAGTAATTTACTTCATAATAGTTATATAGTTCACATTTCATTATAAACTCTGCATTTTTCATTGCGAGCAGGCTACTAGATACCAGAGATCAAAATAAATATGAAAAAAAAGTATCCACTACGTTCAAGTAATTTACTTCATGATAGTTATATAGTTCACTTTTCATTATAAACTCTGCAACTCTGCATCTTTCACTGCAAGCAGGCTACTAGATAACAGAGATCAAAATAAATATGATACATTAAATCACCAAGAGGGTATACGAATAAATTATATTTGCGGTATTGGCCTACATATTGTAATATGAAATAATATGAGAAAAAAAGAAAAAACAAATGAGACATTTAGATAATACATGATAGACATTACCAAAAAAAACTCTTAGGTGTCTCGGTAAGATCAAATCTTCATATTTACTCAAATCAGAATAAAATTTCAACAGCCATTGCTTTATCCATTTTACAAGCACTGTGCTTGTTATGAAAAAATGTGAACTTCAGTTTTCACTTCAAATGCTACTCGAAACAATTGATTTAGTGTCAGTTTTCATGTTATTATGGTGGTGAATTATTCAATCCAAAACCTGTTTTACAATATATAACATTTCAAATAAGCTACCTGGTAAAATGAAAGTAAATCGATTCTAATCATGTATATTCTATTCTGATGGGAATACTTAAAATATAATTTTTTAATTTATGTACATACATACACTTTTTTCCTTCCAATTTAATCACATTTAATTATGTTTCTATAATATAAAATTTATAAATTGTTACCTTAACTTTATCTGTAATAAAGGCAATATTGTTTCCCACAAGGTTACGCTGGTCAGGCCCGAAGCCCTGATCATTCGGAAGGGCGCGCCAGCATTATCAATCAATGACCACTCACCCAGACCGTGGGAATATTGGGTCCGAGAATATATGCCCTAAGCAAGTGTAGTGAGCCATGAATGACAGCCTTCTGCATTTGTCTGGCTAGGGTGGGGCCGGCATGATCTTGAGATTTGAGATTAGATTTGAAGAGAAAATCTCGACACTCTTTTCGGACGATGTTCGCCTTACTAGGAACTGAAATCTCCATGACAAATATCATCTTGCTCTCTTGGTCGAAAAAAACTACGTCAGTCTTATTAGCCTGTATGAGCCTGACGGTAGGGAATGAATAGTTCCAATAAGTACGGCACCCCTCATTTCCCACAACGGATTCAATATCCCCTTGAGCGTTGGGCAACACCGTCAATACCGTAAAAGTGCCATAGATGGGCCGCGTTATGTCAATGGATATAGGCTGAAACTGCATATGATAGACATGCTGACAGCACATCAGTTAGGATATCAGGTGCCTTGCAGCAGGCCCTGCACCTTGTGTCACGAACTTCTATACCTATCACGCGACTGCCATGATGAACCCCTCGGTTGCCGACTTCAGCCCACTCGACCCGAGGAAAGCGAAGGTGCTTTCATAAGCCGAGGTATTTGATGCTGTTGAAGAAAACCCCATGCATTGGTTTATCCTTGTGTTGCCACAGGAGTGAAGTGATTTCTGCAGTTTTTATGTGGGCCTTTTGCTAAACGGGTTCTAACTTGGTGACGGAGTTATGATCACCTCGTTCAGTGTCGAAAACTAAACCGAGTCCATCAGCCGCTCGAGTGAACCATGCAGAGAAGAGGATTCAAACTCCTGATAACTTTACAGGCTCCATCCAGTACCAGTGTGTCACGTAGACAATCCAAACTTAAAAGTCCACGACCTCCTTGTTGTTGGGGGAAGTACAATCGTGGAACAGACGATTTGGGATGCAAACTGCTACAGAGATACAACTAAAGCAATGTCTGTCGACAAGCGTTTTGCTAACCAAGTTAGCGTCATCAGGAGTTGATTAAAGTTCCACTTCCTGATCTGGTTAGTACCCCAAGGCTGGCAGATTTATCAGCTTTGTATGGTTACTTTCGATACCTGAGTATCCAGGCATCCAGTATAGAATCGATTTATATCTGTCTCCTATTTTTTAGTCTCAATATCACTTTTGGGTTCAATAATGCCCCAAGTACAGTCCTGCCTGTAAAAAGAGTAATTCGCTCATTTCGTTCAGGCCTTTAAATAATGTTCCTTGTACCTTGCTATAATTCAGCTTGAAAGACTGATATGTAATGACCCCCGCATAGTAAATTCCAGCTCACATTCCATGTTCGGTTTCAGACCTTCGTCTATACAAGATGTTTCTGCCGAGCATGTTCTCTGGATTACTGCTATATTGAAAATATATCCCGATGTATTGTGGTCCGAGAATATTTAAGTTATAGTTTTTATTCTATACATAAAAATTAGTTATTCAATACAGTTAAAAAACCCTTAACAAAACACATAAGAAACAATTGTTTTATAAGAATGCTAATAGTCTACTTCATTCGATTATTGGATAAGTTCTTACCTGAATCAACTGAATCTGTAACGCCGGCCATCCTTGATTAGCTGCCCTCATTTCAACGGGATCTAAAGTGAGATTATGTCCTGGTAAACTCTGTAACATTAACGCGTAGCAACGACCCCAATTTGGAGCTGGGTTCTGAGGTGACACATACCTAAAATTGGTATTTTATCATGTGAAAATCATACAGAGTGGGTCATCAAAAACGTACCGCAAGTCGGAACTGCCATTGAATGAACTTTTCACATAAATCAAAAAAAAAAATAGTTTTGTTTGTTAGGAAAACCAACTCTCTAAGCTGGGATGTTACCTCCCAATTTAAAAAAAAAGTAATTAATGGTGGTCCAATGATACCTCATTGAAAAGGGACTTTCGATGCCAACAATATATTTTCAGAAAGAGTAAAATTAAATCGATTTAATATAAAAAACTATCTTATTTATTTGAGTGTTGAAGTTCAAAACAATTTGCAGTTTTTGCTATTCAGCGAGTAACAGATTTTTGTTTGCCAAAAGATAGTGTGTTTTAGAAACCAAATTATGTTGGTTTGAACTACTATCTAGCTGGTATTGATTGGGATTTTTATCTTGGCTCCATTATTCACATTAACCAAGGTTCAGATTTTTTTATGATATCTACTCTCAGAATATTCTGTATATTGCGATAGGTACAACATTTTGTTCCCTCTATTCGACTTCTCCGCTGGTTTGACAATGATTTGAATGAAATGACTATCGAAAAAAAGCTCACAAAGCATATTAAATTAGGAAAAGTTGGGATGATTATCTGATATTTTCCAGTATTAGAGCCTAATGCATGTACAGAAGCATGTACAGTAGGATATGAAAATCCCATTAAAAAAGTTGAAAATAACGTAGCATCAAACTATGTAACTACGTGGATACCAAACGGAAAAATAATGTCATGCCTGAGACTCTGTATTGTGATGATATGACTTATGATAATGTGAATGATATTGCAAATGCATTCACATAACAGTTGCAATCATTGTATAAACCTGATAAAGTTAATGAAATACCAACCTTCGTTACCGAAAAAACTGTGGAAATGGACAGTTGTACAGTTACTTTTGAAATTATTTTCAATGAACCGTCTCGAATGGATTCAAATAAAGGTCTAGGACCAGATGGGATCTCACCAATGTTACTGAAAAATTGTAGATTATCTGGCAAGACCACTATTTTTACTCTTCACTCAGTCTAAGTGAAGTCCCTCTGTTATGGAAATCAAGTTACATAACGCCTATCTATAAGTTTGGAGAGAGCAATAATAAGAATGTTCGCCACATTAGCATATTGAGTGTTATACCTGAATGAATGAAACATATCACAATTTCGAAAAAGTTTTTCATATTCAAGTAAAGCTTTATTGGGAGATTTTCACTAGACAGTTTACAAAATCGAAACATGTGTTTCTCAAATATTTTCATACTGAAGTTAAAATATTCAATGGTATTTTCCCAAAACTAGAGTCACTAAATCTAACAAATTTGCAAAGCAAAATTCAATACCACGTTATTCATGAAAGTTAATCCAATCATTAAAATTACTATTCTTACTTCTGAGTATATATACGTGGATTGTTCAAAAAATGAGGTGAATGTTCAAATTCGATTACCGATTTTTTTTATTTTTTTATGTTTGTATATTTGTCTCGAACATATGTTCACAGTTTCAGCTATATAGCATGTTTAGTTTGTTGGTGAGAGGCATAAAAGTTAGAAGTGTTTTGCGTGTTCGGCGGCAATATTCTGCTATCGAAAAAAAATGGATAAAAAATTTGCATCAAGCTTTGTGTAAAAAATGGAATTAAGTGCTGAAAAACACTTTGAATGTTGACAGTGGCATAAGGTGATTGTCAGAAAAATGTTTACTGAATATCGGTTGACTCATACCATTCAATTTTTTCGGAAATTTTAGGTAGGAAGCGTGTGGCAGCAAAATTCGTTCCGAACTTGCTGAATTTTTACCAAAAAAACCGTCGTATGAGTATCGCTCAGGAAAGGTTGAATGACGTCAACGACGATCCAGATTTGCTTGAAAGGGTCATAACTGGTGACGAATCATGAGTATATGGTTATAACATCGAAACCAAAGTCCAATAGTCCCAATGGAAGAGCCAAGATGAAAAAAAGCACGCCAAGTTCGATCAAATGTCAAATGTTCTTCACTGTTTTCTCAGATTACCGTGGCGTAGTGCATCAGGAGTTTTTGCCACATGGTCGTACGGTCAATAAGGAGTATTACCTTGAAGTTATGCGCTGCTTGCGAGAAGCAATACGAAAAAATGTCCAGTATTGTGTAGAAAGTTTAAAAGCTAAAAGGAACATGACCACATACTTTTCAAGCTAGATGCCAAATACGCATTTTCAATCATAATAAGAAATATATACTTAATTTTCACCTGTTACTTTTTTCGGCAATTCGAACATAGAAAATTTATTATACTACCTTTTTACAATTCTGATTATTTGATACAACAAATAGAAAAATTAGTAAACATTCAAACAGGCAAGATAAGTCTCCTTGATTTTAACAACTTGGCATGGTTTGAATCGAAAATAATATACATAACAAATCACTCACCTAGTTGCAGCCAACCTCAAACAGAATGCAGCTTTCCTAACAAAACCAATCTGTGAATATAGGTCAGCAAGAGTTTCAAACCGTTGAATTTTTTCTTGTTCTGATAGGGTCAAGTTGATATATACCACGTTCTGTAAAAAGCTTGCAGCTTGAAGGGCGTGATTTTGTTCTACTGCAATTCTAGCTGCTTTGAAGCTGGCCTCTGTTTCTATAATTCCAGCGTTTTGGTATTTGCTGTAATGAATAATGGCCTCTCGATAACGTTTTGATATATCATCAGGAACCATCACATTTGCTATCATTTTCTTGACCACCATAGCAGTAGCAGGTGAAGCTTGGCTTGATTTTCTAGGAGATCCTTCTTGCAAACTTGCATTTCTATGCAACGGTACATTTCTCTGCATTTCAGGATAGAGAACCAAAGCTGAAGCTGCACTCAAGCCTTCATATGCAGCACCAAGCCATAACCAATCATTAACCGACTTCAAAATTTCTGCAGCTTGGGCGTAGTAAGCTAAACTTTCTGCCAATAATCCTGCCTGCAAACATAGATCTCCTAGATGTTTTGTCATGCGTCCGGTACATCTTTTTTTGTTATTTCTCGATTCCATATCAAGTCCAACAAAGTCTTTTTTTTCAAAAGGAGCTAATAGTAAGGAAACCCTCTCAAGCTTCTCCCTTGAGCGTTCCAACCTTTTTGACTCAAGGACCCAAAACAGGGAGTTGATGAACTCGTTCAGTTGTGTTTCTAGGTCTACACATGGTGAAAGTGGATCATAAAACAATGCTCGTGTTTTGAAATTACTGGGAGTGGTGAATTTTTCCACTGCATTATCTGATTTACCTTCACTATCTCCCGAACTGCTTGAACTGGGATTATCGTCTGGAGAAGACTCGCAATCTTTTGTGGGACCAAATAAAATACACCTGGAGTCGAATAATGTGGTATTATACTTAACTTTGAAACTCTCATGAACCCTACATATCTCGTTGAGTTCTTGCTGAGAATCATACTTTCCTAAAGAGATCAGCCCCAACAAGCGCCTGTGCGTCTGAAAATCTCCCCAGTCGTTGTTCTCGACAGGGTGCTCTCTGATGTAACGCACTAAAATGTTTCTTACAGCACCTGTAGAATCTGTTATTTTAACAGCATTCAACTTTGATATGCGGTCATAAAATTTCGTGAACGTCTTAGGTTTCAGCTGGGATCCGATGTGTTTCACGAGTACCAGGAGAGCTGCATGGTCGTGTGAATACTGTTCGTAATCTGGATGAGACATGTTAGGCTCACTTGTGCTGCTTGACAAAATATAGCTTACTGATGAACGCATTTGAATGTGATGAACGAGGGCTATTTTAATGAATATTGCACTATTACTGGTACCATGTTGGTATACTTGTAATTAACTGAAATTCGGGAGTACTGATTTGAATATTGAATAAACGTCAAAAATGTAAACAGAATCAGCCGTTTACTGTCGTCATTTCATAGAGTGTCAAACAACGTTGCCAGTTATTGAATTGTATTAACATTAATATGTATCGAAATTCAATATTAGCTTATATCCGATAATTACTCTAGTTGTCATTTGATTCAGAAATTGTGAAGACAACAAGTGTTTTCCAGAACTGAAAGTGAAGGATTCATTGTCATAACTTCCCTGTTAGTATAGTAGTATTCATATATCATCATCATCATCATCATATAGTATTCATGCATCACAGATGCAAGCTACAAACATTTGAATATAGACTCATCAAGTATATTTTTTTATCAACCTTTCTGAGAATTTTCATCTTCTGCAATCTGAAAACAACAAAAAATGTCATGGAGAAATTTGTACAGGTGTAAAATAGTATATTTTTCATTGTGAAATATACGCTATAACTTACTTTTTTTATTCCAAGTTGTGGGAGATTAAGTAAATCCCCAGAAAGGTCGATAAAAAACTGATTTCCACAAAAAAAACTCTTGTTCAATATTCTGATATTTTTTGGGTCAGAAAAATTATGTAGTTTTGCGTGGGGTAGGATCAAAAAAGGATTGAAGAAGGGACAAGATAATAGGTAGGTGTCCCATCAGACGAAAGGACTTATTACTAACCCTATCAGTGCCGTTCCGAAAGAAGAAAAAAATTAACAATAAGAACGTGCTTAGTCAAGATATACCTCGATTGAAGTGACGGTTTTTCAAGGAGCTTCGTGAAATAACGGCTAATATTCATCGAGAAATTGTTAGTAATTGAAATGGGAATCACCCAATGTCATATTTTTTGAAATAATTTTCAAATAGTGACATATTTTAAAATGTTTTTCTGACATCGAATATCATTTAAGTAGTTTTGTTGTGAATACAGATCTTCTTACCAAACCTATAAATATGTGCAACTGGATTCTGTTGATTTTTCTGTGAATTTGCATTTCTTCTTGCAACCAACTGTTGCCCATCCTTGCACTTGGCTACCGTTACATCGTAGTGATTATGGTTAATTAGCCTGAAAGACGTGTCTATTATGTATTCTATTTGAGTGGTATATCCGATAAACCTTTTTTCGGATCTATATATACTCATCACCATAACAAGAAATTTTATTGGACAAATAGTACCTACAATAATACTGTGAAATTACATTCCTGCCCTAGAATTTGTTGTCGTTTAAAGTGGAAAAAAAGAATTTCTCAGTATTTGGGTGTAGGTATAACCTTGCATGATCTCAAAATGGGAAGAGATTGTGAAAGGTTATACAGCCAAGAAAATGAATGGGAAAAGGGCACACTGTTTCGAAACAAACATACACATTTTGCGAATTTACTTCTTTTTATTCAATGAAAATACGGATAAGTGAACTCTCACATTTGAAGATATAAGCGGTTTTTACTAACCCCAACCTTGAAGAGGCATAAGCCTATAGCAGGGCCCCCCTCATAACCCCAATACAACTTAACTATGTTTTAACCCAAAATTGAATAAACGTTTTTGACGACTTGAGACATAAGTGGAAAATTTACAGGAAAATACAAAGAATCGGCAACGTCGAGTTTCCACTCTCTCGAGCTTCTGTCAGAATTTAGTGTTTACGTCACGTCGGGTGTCAAATCATTTGACAGTGGTCAATGCCAATTGCGAAACCAAAATAAAGGGGGAATGTAAAAGTCTGATCATTTTCGATATTTTCTGTAGTTTCTGCTTGCTCTCCGGGTTGAATAAGAACTGAGTGATATGTTATATGTTGTTAACTGAGTGTGAATAATATGGTGTTGAAAACAATGACTACTTTGCTAATGTCAGCGGCGGAATTTTCGAACATTTTTTCTGTTCTCGCACTTCTGTTATGTTTTTGTGGAATGATTTTGTTCATAACAAGGTGCGTATTTTACTTTTTTTATTTTATCTAGTTGATTTTGAGGATGCTGTCAAAAAAGGATTATAGTATTGAATACATTTGGTAATGACAACAAACAACAAAGTACCCATATACAGATTGTTTCATATAAAATGAAGACTTGCCCTGAGAGTACACAATCTAATTTTACTGTTTCAATGAAGAAATTGAAAAGATATGTGAATTTATTCATGAGCTTAAAATAATTCATACCCTTCCAAAGATGAGACATGGGCATACCTTTTCGAGTACCTTTTATAAAAAATATACCTAGCAATGAATAATTTTAATCAGGTATATGTGTTTCTTTTCCATATCATTGACAATCCTCAACAGTAGAAACTTATGCGAGCTGAGGATTAAGGATGTCTCACCTTTCAAGGTGCGACTCCTAATACCGATAAGGAACTTTTACTGCTGTCTATACTATATACTTTAGGTTTTTATTTATGAATAAATTTATAAATTAATTTATTTTCAAATGATAGTCTGACCTTAACTACAGGGCCAACTCAACACTATTACTTATTCAATAATATGATGTGTTGTTTTGAGTGCGTTATTATTCAAAACTACATTAATCAAACCATAACAAAACTTCATTTTATGATTTAGATGCTGACTGAATTTTGAACATTTGACAAACCAGTCAGTTTTAATATATATGACTAATAGCTGCGGGTTTAAAGTTATCCAAATCCCAAAAAACTGAAAAATAAGGATGTAAAATTGCCTTTGTACACCTACAAGATTGAGATATGTTTTACCTGTTAATCAACTGAACAACATAAACTTTACCTCCGAGTTTTTCAGGTCGTCTGAGGGGGTGGAGATGGGGTGAACATTAAAAAAAATCAAGATCGAGATATTTTATTCCTGGTGCTCTTGATTCTTCATGTTTCTCGATTGCATTCTTCCAAATATGGGTGAAATACGATAAAATGTCGCCTGTTGATCTTTGTTTTCGAAACCCATATTCATGATCGCTCAAGATGTTGAAGCCTTCCAAATATTTAAGGATATGGAGGTTTACGGCCTTCCCCATGATTTTTGTTATCACTGATAGCAAAGCGACTGATCTATAGTTATTGGAAGATTTTTCTTGCCCTTTTTGGGAATGGGCTGAACGCGAGCAATCTTCCAACAAGAAGAAAAACCTCTTCCTTTTTAGACAGATTAAAAAGTCTGCAAAATACTGGTGTCAGTTCATTCGCACACTTTTTAAGTACAATGATGGGCACTTCATCAGGACCAAACAGACGCCATCAAATCAAATCAAATATGCTTTATTGTCTAAAGTATAAACTCGTTGACAAAGCTAATCATGTATAAATGAGTTTCACTATAATAACTATACATTATGCATATACATTGGTTTAATGTATGTGTCATACTGAAATATGGTTACGATTTTTAGTGCACAGCTAAAACAATTATAGATAAATAAATGAATATGCATATATAAACGCACATAAATACCACACACATACATATTTATATACATCCTAAATGAACGAATAGTCAGACATTAACAGGTAAATAAGGAAGTNAATTTTACCAAGGGTTGGAATAAGCGAGATGGGTCGAAAGTTTGAGGGATCTGAGGTGTCACCCCCTTTGTGAATGGGGATCATAACATTTGCTTTTAAGAATTGTGGGTAGGTTCCCTTGGCAAAGGAGTCATTAATAAGTTTGACTAGAAACCAAGATTGGCATATTCTCAAAAATTCTTATCGATACGTTATCGATGCCACAAGAAGTTTTATTTTTGATCCTTGAGCTTTGTTGACATTGAGCTGTTTCAAAAATCGCCTGACTAGACGTTGTCCAGAAGTTATTTCCGACATTGTGGATTCTATTGTGGGAATAGTGGGTGGTGCCTTTCTCAGAATTTCGACTGTGAAGTGGGACTCAAATTGTTCAGCTAGTAGATTTGCTTCTTCTATGGCTGTTATTGCAATTGAACCTTCCGCTTGTGTTAGTGGTGGAATTGTGTATTTACATTTTCGCTCGAAAGGGGGCCAATCAATTTTGAAAGAGAATGTTTCAAACTCAACATCATCAAAGCTTCTGGTTCTGATGAAATACTTATCATATTTAATCCAAAAATACGTCAATTTGTAAGGGGGTCAATTTTTGACCTGAAAGCCATTGCAAAACTTTCAAAAGCACCCATGCGGGGTGTCATCACTTAAAATTTTATAAAACAGGAATGGGGTTAAGTGATGACTCATTTACCTTTTTTCAAGGGTTCATTCGATCCTACTAGCATCTCTTCAAAAATAAATATATATTTTGGGAGTCCACTCACTTGTTAACTTAATGGTTTTATTGTCTGGTGCAATGGGTGTGTTTATTTATGTAATATTATATATAAGTATATATGTTTATATGTCTATTATATAAGTGTTGATAATATTTTTAAACAAATCTGTACACAACCATGTTGATACAAAATTTCGACGTTGAACTATAGTGTATGTT